ATGTGGTCTCCTATTTGCCCAGCTCCAAGAATGTTAAGGCTGATGCCTTGTCTCGCCAGTATTCTGAGTTGTCCAGGGAGGACTCCGTGCCGACGCCAGTCATACCTTCCGATCATATTCTGGCTGCTATCCGCATCAACTTGACCTCAACCCTTGGGGAACAAATCCTGGCCACCCAGTCCGATGCTCCCACTGGGAGACCTGCTGGCAAATGTTTTGTGCCTGAGGGGTTGCGCATCAAACTGTTGCGCACGTACCACAATTCCAAGATTGCCGGTCATCCTGGTAAGAACTAGATGTCCTGGGCTGTTTCCAGTCAGTTCTGGTGGCCATCTCTCCGCACTGGTGTTGCCACATATGTGACCGCATGTTTCCGTCTGTGCCCAGGACAAATCTTCTCGACGCCTACCCTTGGGCCTACTGCATCCCATTCCAAATGGGGAGCGTCCCTGGTCTCACCTGGCCATGGATTTTATTGTGGAGCTTCCTGATTCCCGAGGTTACACGGTTATCCTCATGGTGGTTGATCGGTTCTCCAAGATGTGCCACTGTGTTCCGTTTAAGAAGCTGCCTACCGCTCAGGAGCTGGCCTTGGTGTTTGCCAGGGAGGTCTTTCGGTTACACGGGTTGCCTAAGGAGATTGTCTCGGACCGCGGGAGTCAGTTTGTCTCTAGGTTCTAGCGTGCCTTTTGCTCTCATTCGACTCTCCTTCTCCTCAGCCTACCATCCGCAGTCCAATGGTGCCGCTGAGCGTTCCAACCAAGCCCTGGAGCAATTTCTCCGCTGCTATGTCTCTGACCATCAGGACAATTGGGTTGATCTGCTACCCTTGGCGGAGTTTGCCAGGAACTCTGCCATCAACTCGTCCTCCGGAATGTCTCCGTTCATGGCGAATTATGGGTTCCAACCCTCTGTGTTGACTGAGTCATTCTCGCCACAGGACATTCCGGCTCTGGAGGATCATCTTCGTGTCCTCCATTCCTCTTGGGTGCAAATTCAGAAGTCTTTACGGGTCTCTGCTCAGCGTCAGAAGCTCCAGGCAGACCGGAAACGTCTGCCGGCTCCTTCGTACCAAGTTGGGGAGAGGGTGTGGTTGCCAACTCCTAATCTCAACCTCAAGGTGCCTGCTCCGAAATTGGCTCCCCGTTTTGTTGGACCCTTTCGCATTCTCCGTAGGGTGAACCCGGTTGCCTATGCCCTTGACCTTCCCCCTGGCATGCGTGTCTTCAATGTCTTCCACGTGTCGCTTTTGAAGCCTCTGGTTTGCAATCGCTATACCTCCTCACTTCCTCGCCCTCGTCCCATTCCTGTGGGCAATCATGAGTATGAGATTAGCGGTATCCTGGACTCCCGTCTGCTCCGCGGTCGAGTCCAATTCCTAGTGCACTGGAAAGGCTATGGTCCTGAGGAGCGTTCCTGGGTTTCCTCCGCTGATATTCGTGTGCCCGCCCTTCTCCGTGCTTTCAATGCTCGCTTCCCTCAGAAACCGTTTTTTGCTCCGCGGAGGAGGGGCCATTGAGGGGAGGGTACTGTCAAGGTCTTACCTCGTCCTCATGGTGGCAGCCATTTTGGACATGATCAGACTGCAGTCTTTTTATATCCTCTGATTGCATCATCGCTTGCCTGCTGCCTGGTTGTCGCACAGTGATGATGTGGCAACACCTGACTATATCAGTCTGCTCAGGATTCAGGTTCATTGCTCTTGCGTTTGTGCTCCAAGGTGCATCTGTTGCGATCTGAGTTTGTGTGTTTCTGTGTATGATCCGGTCCGGCTGGCGTTTCCTCTGGCTCTCGACCCCGCATCGGACTTGATTCCGGCTTGGACGACTACCCGCTTTGGACTTGACCCCGGCTTAGACAACTACCCGCTTTGGACGTGATGCCGGCTCGGCAGATGTACCCGCATTGGACTTGACCGGCTTGTTCCTGACCTCGCTGCTCCCTGATGAATGTTTATTTATGAGACGCCGCAGCTGAAACGGATCCTGACAATTATATCTGGATCCGCCCAGCTGCGTGAGTGACAGCTGGCTCTACCTATCTAGAGGCAGAGCCAGCTGTACCCGCCCCCTCCCCTGTCCGTTCCGCCAGTCAGCGCTGGGGGATCGGAGTGGGGAATCCAGTCCCTCCACTGTCACTGCTCTCTGCCGTGATAGGATCAAGAAGTGAGCGAACGCCGGTATGTGTTTGCTCACTTCCCGATCTACTGAGCCGCCCTGTGACAGTTTCATTGTCACAGGTCGGCTAGAACTATGAAAATGAGTGAAAAGCACTCACCTCATAGTTCTCCTTTAAGACTTTTATATTAACAGATAGGGTATATTCATAAATATTTGTTAGTTGCCAATTTTAACAATATTTGTTTAAACTCAATAAATGTTTTATTGCTCCAGTCTGTGGACATTACTGTATACATGTGATACTATACATTTTCCTCAGTATTTTGCATACAAGGCATTTTACAAAAAATATCAAAAGGGTTTTTTTTCTCCTAAAATATTGCTTCCTTCCAGCTGCCTACTGAGTGCAGTGAAAAATGGGCCCATTCACCCCTGGCAGTGTTAATGTTGCACCTCTTTCCCCGATGTTTGCCTTAGCTTTTCCACTGTGCCTGTAGTAGCTTCTGTGGCAGCTCTCACTCAGGTTTTCTGGCATCTCCCCTCAGTCTACAGTCTACCCGCCACCCCAGTAAGGGAGCACTTCTTCTCCAGCAACTCCTCTCCTCTCCACATTAAGTTCTCTGGCAGTTCCTCCCACAGCAACACTACTTTCTCTGGCACTGCATCCCTGCTTACACTTCATCCTTTAGCATCCCCCCTAACATCCACACTAAAATTTCTCTAAGAGTGCCAACTCCCCCTTAAATTGCCATCCACACTAATGTGCTTGGTTTTGAAGAAGGAGGCGTGCCCCTGAAACGCTTCAACCCCAGCTGACTGCGGCCGGTGGAAGTTGATGAGACCGGAGGCAGCCGTGGTACATAGTCGAGGCGGAATTATCCTGGGCTAAAAGACAGTGTGGTCCTCAGCCATATACCCTTTTTTATTTATTTTTGTGATGGAAGCCCCAGAACCTTGGATGAGCAGCCCCTCAAGATTGTGTGAAAAACTTTGATTCATTCAACAGCGGGTGTTTTGATGTCAGCCATTAGCGCCAAGAGATAACAAAAACTTTGTCCCCATTGTTCCCTGGTTGCCATAGTATATATAAATGCTAAGCTGTGACCCTTCTCACTAAGCCCTACCCTTTGGTCATTCCCACTCCTTGTCAAAGGTGTTTTATAGCCACTCAAGTCAATAGTGTGCCATTACCGGTAAAATCAGCTACATGCAAATTTACAGTTCAGGAGGTATCAACTGCCATCCCCCTTCCACCTGACTTACAGTTTTTACATTACCCATCCATCACAATCATCCTCTCCCTGAATACTCCATGACCAGGTCATCATTTGCATTCTTTGACAGAGGAGCACAATCAGCTGTCACTTCTCTCTCTGCTTTGCTTAACACCACAGCAACAATTAGTTCTCATCCTGTCTCCTATCTCACGCTGACAACAATCAGCTTGTCCCCTACTACCCTTCCTTTACTCTCCATCATCTTCTACAGTACCCTTCAACCATGTTCATACCAAATCTACCTATTATCTCTATGGTCCATGCACATAATGCTCAGTCTTCTCCATCGCGTCAACAATCAGATCCTAATTCCTCCTCTAACTTTTTCCAATCAATGATCAACTCCTCTGTATTTCCACTTTTTCATTTCCCCCTGTCCTTAATCAATTCAGGGTTAAGGACAGGGGGATCAGATCTGCCTCTTCTCTACACACCCTCCCCCCATCCATGACTTCTACTTTCTGAATTATCGCACTACCCAATGTATCATGCTCAGTTTACCATCACCAGCTTCCCCTCTTTACCCTTGTCCACAACCTGCTGCCATTCTACCTGCTCTATCTTCCCCCAACCCAAGTTCAGATGCCATGCTGCTGCCTCTTACTTGTCTCATGGTCCATGGTTAGCTTCAACTCTCCTATCAATAGTTATGATCAACTCCTTCTCTTCCTAATATATTCTCCCAGCTCCATCATGTTTACATTACACACCATCCTTATCAGTTCTAGCTAGATGACACACTTATCAAATTTGTGTCCAGCAAAAATACAGCCGAATGATGCATGCCATTGTGAATTATTGAAACCAAAAACCTTTCACTTGCTAGTATAAAGAAACATGAAGTAAAAAAGGAAATATACTAAAACACTATAATTGCATGCATCAAAATACAATATTTTTTACAATGGTGTTTTTTTATTGCTTAATGCACAACACTGGGTTGTTTAATTTGTATTCCCTACTAGTAACTGTCATTGATACACCAAAAACATCTGATATTTTCTATTTAGTAACCATCTCCAAACACTTTTTTAGGGCTACCCTTTATTCCCTCATGCATGGAAACAAATGGTTGCCAAGGTTTTCCTGAGCAGAGATATTCAAGATCGTAACTATTTATTAATTTGTTTTTACTGTAGAACTTCTGCAATGTGAAAGAATGATTCTTGTAAATTGGACAACTGACACTTCCAAACAATTTTACTCTCTTGCATTACCGGAAATTTCTTTGACTAATGGTCCATATTGTTTCAGTTCTAAAATAATCTGTGTATCTGGCATATGCTACCAAATGTGTAAATGCTGAAAAAAAAATCATCCTGTATATAGATAACACTACATCTATTTTTTATCATATCAACAACAAACAGCATTATACTAATATAGGAACACAGAGTCAGTGCATGTGGTTTTGCATGAAAATCATGGCAGATTCTAGCACACAGAAAAGGCATACAGTACCATTCACAAGAGATTTACATATGTCCCTTATGCCTCTGCTCGGCACACTGGAGTGTAGTCATCAAAACTGAGAAAGATATGCCCTATTTTTTATCTGTGAATACATGTCTGGCTAGCATTTTAAGATAAGCAGGTTACTTACAAGTTGTTCTGACTTGACACCATAAAGCTGTATGGTCTTGGCCACATTTCTGGAGACAGCAATGCCAAGGTTTGGATCCACAGCAGCCACATTCAGTTCACTGTAAACATCAAGTTGCAATAATTAAAATAAATTACCTTTTAATTTAAAACACAGTCCAAGTTGGAAAATGTTTATGTATTATTTCTTCAAAAAACTAAATTCTGCAGCATACATCTTTTATATAAAAATGCAAAACACAGAAAGCCAAAGGCATGCACAGAATACAAAGGCCATTGATTAATACCACTAATCAGCAGATAAAAAAGGAAAACAAAATCTATAGTGTTGAGCAAGTGTGGCAGCCAATAAAAAAAATATATAATCTCCTAACTAATTAGATATAATAACAGTAAATCGTGTTGCTATAGGTGACTGTAATTTGATCATATTGGCTCTCAGCATTGCCTACATTTTTTTAAATATATATATATTTCCAAAAGACACACTCTTTTCTAAAGGTGGGGCTACCATAAATAAACACATTCAGGCCCCGTTCCGACTGCGCGATATGCAAATCGCGCGATTTGCATATTGCGCGACATCGCGAGATTTGCCGCGCGATGTCACGTTCAAGCTTGCATTGAGCAAGCTTGAATCGCGGCTAAATCCGCTCCAAAAAGGGTCCTGCTGTAGCGACACACGACATTGCCACGATATCGCGGGAATTACCACGCGATAAATCGCTCAATGTGAACGGGGTCTAAACAGATCAGCTCTGCTGCAGAAAATTATTTATTCTAGTTTTTTGAGATGTCTTTAAAAGCATTTGCCAAATATTTTGGTCAGATAAACTTGTCAAACTGATAGGTCTCCCATTTCTGCTGCAGATTACTATTGCGGTTTTCTAAACAAGTCAAGTTTTTAAAGTGAAAAAAATATACACTTGGCAAAAAGTGTGATTCTTCCCCACTATGTTACCAGATGTCTCATATCTGTCTATCAACAATGATAGGCAATCAAGGCAATCAAACCAATAAGGAAAACATGGAAATAGAATCAAGGCAACAATCCGAATTTGATGAAAAAAAATCAATAAGATAGTTCAGATTTACACACAAGTTTAGGGATGGGGGGAGAAGGAGAGAGCGAGAGTCAACTGAATAATTACTGTATCAATACAGATTGTAAAAAAATCTGTACCTGTACTGTACTGTAATTTTCTGCCAACATACGATATTAGAAGAGACACTGAGGAGTCTGAGTATACTAAGGAAGTGTTATTGAGTTAAGCAAATATTCATGAATGAGAGAAGACCAGATTTAACAAAGAAACAAAATAAAAAAACTTTATGAAGACAGACAAACAGGGTAAAAGGACAGACGGGAAACAAAATATGTCCACTACAGTAGAGACATATAACTAAAAGACTGTTATATGTACTTGTTTTTCATGTTTGGCAGTGCTAACTATGCAACCATCTTAAAGCAAAGTAAACCTTTTTTAGGGTCCTGAATAGTACAGTACCACTGATGTAAAGCTGGGGCACATGCAATAGAAATGACCAGACATGACAAGACATCACACAGACTGCTCAGACCAGATCAACAATAATCAGCCTTCATGCTTTCATGTAATTACACTAAAAATGCACATGAGACAAATCTGTCCTACCAGGTCAATGTCAAAGGCAAGTCTATGGTGTAGGTAAGTGCAACTACACAATGGGCCATAAGCATTAGATTCTGACAGAATAATAGGACCACAAGATTTATCCTTGGTACACAGAAAGACAGTCAGGCTACAGATTTTAGCAGTTGTCTTAACTATCAAGGTTGATTTTATTACCAAATGCTTCAGTTTTCTTCTCCAGTATACAAAGGTAGGACTATATTCTGTTCTTGTCACATTATGACATTTCAATATTCCTCAATAACTGCAAGTAGCATTATTTGAAGACACATAATTCATATGGTGAGATGTTATATGATTCTGCTGTATAGCAAATTTCAACATGTTGTTTTTTGGCCTTCTATGTACTTTGAATGGCATTCCAGGGACTCTTCATCATGTGTTGAAACACTTAATATGCAACATGCTTGTTCTGGGTAAGTGGCTCACCAAGTAATAAAGCCAGGATAAGGATAACAGCTCTGAAGTATGCACTTTAAAAGTCAGCAATGTCTACTCCCATATTACTACCCTGACAGATTTAGTTTAACAGTAAGGGGGTGCTGAAAACCATTCTCTGCCTAGAGAAGTTGAATAGCCTAGTTGACTGATGTAGCATGTTAACCCTACACCACTTTATTTCCCATAGTTTACAGTAATTACATAGTATGCAGTATTTACAGAATACGCACAACATTTGACCTGAAGGAACAGACTTTAGATGAAGGTGTCTAATAACATGTAGATAAACGCTTACAAATTTAATTGTGATAGGGTATGTTTAGAGAGGACTCAGATGTTTGTAAATTTTTGAAAATGACACAGTGAGTGAAGGCAGATTTGGGGGGGGGGATTTATTAAGCAATTATGTTATTATTGTTTGCACTGTATTAACAGTATATACTGTATATGTATTACATATATTGTATATACTGCTAATACAGTGCAGACATAATACCATGAATGGATTAAATGATCTGTATGTAGCCCTGTACTAGGGATCATTTAACCCATTCATGTTAGCAGAGGATAATTGTAAATGTATTGTTGCAGGCACTCTATATGTACATGTACTATATACTACATATAGAATGCACTGAACAATAGATTTACAATTATCCTCTGCTAATATGAATGGGTTAAATGATCCGTAGTACATGATATGTAGCCCTGTACTACGGATCATTTAACCCATTCATGTTAGCAGTGGAGAATTGTATATCTATATGTACTGTACATATACAGCACAAATGTCCCGTACATTGCAGCATTAGATTTACAATAATCCCCTGCTAACATGAATAGGTTAAATGATCCGTAGTACAACTACATGTTATGTACTATGGATCATGATTTAACCTATTCATGTTAGCAGGGGATAATTGTAACTCTATTACTGCAGTGTACGGGACGTATGTGCTGTATATGTATTATGGATCATGATTTAACCTATTCATGTTAGCAGGGCAGAATTGTGAGCGCCTCCCACAAGCTGAGCACCGAGATGCGATGCAGCGATCCTGCCCAGCGCCGACTACAAGAGGCATCGCGTGAGGCTACGGGGATCAGAGTGAAACTGTGAGTAAGGGAAGCTGGGATGGGGCTGGCTGTAAATCTATTGCTATAGTGTACTGGACGTGTGTAATGTATATGTAGTGCATATATACAGCACATACCTCCACTACACTCCAGCAATAGAGTTACAATTCTCCACTGCTAACATGAATAGGTTAAACCATGATCCATAGTACATAACATGTAGTTGTACTATGGATCATTTAAAGTCACCTGTCCCTTTAACAAAAAGTATCGGTAATTGGTATCGGCGAGTACATGAGGGGATGTACCTGTACTTGTACTTGGGCCTGAAAAAGTGGCATCGGGACATCCCTAGTAATAGGTATACCATGGAAGCGTAGTAAGGCTAGCATAGGTACAAATACCTTGATGTTTAAAAAAATCTGGATGTATTCCTAAATGCACAGAATATTACTGGATATTGAGTTCTTATAGGTATATTAAGCAACAGAGATTGTTTATCCAGGGAATATTTGATTGCCTTATGGGATCAGGAAGAATTTGTTTTGCCCTGTTGGAGCAAATTGAACCATGCTTTATAGGGTTTTTTTGCCTTCCTCTGGATCAACAGTGGCTATTGCATTTTGTTTAGGTTTTTCTTCTTTATTATTTCTCTCATCTCTTTAGGTTGAACATGATGGACTTGTGTCTTTTTTCAACCTAACTATGTAACTATGTATATTGTGGCTTGTAACTACAACTTTAAACCCCAGTTTATCTGATAGTTTAGCAGAGCAGTACAAACATGAAGTAATAGCTAAACCAGTTTAAAAAATAACTTTTTCAAGTTTTCAGAATTAGAGAAATATTTTTTGCTATTTTAGGGCTGAACGTAGAACTATTATGTTATTATAATAATAATTCTATATGTAAATTACAATAAACATATCTAGGCTTCAGATACGATAAAATGTAACTGCACTAAAAACTAAGGATGGTTGTCTAAATCAAAGTTACTAAGACTGTACCGTTCTGATTCCATACAAAGCGCATGCTACAACACAGCCGATTCTCATAACCTAAAATTTAACAGTGCAGTCAATCCAATATGCCCAAATGTGGTTCAGCGCATTACAAATTGGATACCTATGTCAGTCTGTGTCAGCATTTTAGCATCTTCAAGTATATTTTACAAAAGTGATAAAAACCACGTTTTTTCTAAGTAAACTGCAACCTTGTTAATTAAATGTTTATAAGGGTTTGCAGTCAATAAGGCTAACAGAAATGCATAATTCATTATAGATAAATGTTTTAGGTTTTTGCCTCCATTAAATATTGTTAAAGGCAACTTTGCAGTTGAGTTCGAAGGATGATTTCTATATATGGATGTAAACGGATTTTTTTTCCTCTTCGAGAAATGGCAGTATACTTAGAGATCAGGAGCGAGGAAACCAGAAAATAGACACACCAGTAGGGTGGGTTATCTTATTGGTTCCTCCACAAATTGTCTTTTTTTATAATACAATGCAAAAAAGCAAGCAAAGTTATCTAAAGTTTATCTTTGTCCAATGTAGCATCTTGTCAGCAGCACAACTTGCCCAAGTCACAGGTCTCCTTGACAGTCAATAGGTGAAGAAGCCCTAGACTTGACAAGGGTTTCTATTACCGGAGCTTTCAAAAAAAAAAAACACAAGTAGAAGGCATTGCCAGCAAGATGCTGCATACAGCAAAAAATAAAAAGTTGATTAAAAAGTAAAAAATTATAGGAAACAAATTATTAAAAAAGTAAGAAAATTATAAAAAATAAACAATAAGATAAAAAATTATAAAAAAAAGTAAATAAGATAAATAAATATCTAAATAAATTACATTGATAAAAAATAATTAAATAAACAAAAATAAGAAATAATTAAATAAAAAGTGATAAAAAAGTTTAAAAAAATAAAGAAACAGTAAAAAAAATTGAAACTAACCCCGACGCCCTGCCATCTGGTTGCCATTCTCCATTGATGGGAAGAGGGGGGATTGGCGCTGCGCGGGGGCGCATCGCGGAACCTGGCCTTGGGGCGGCAGGGAGAGTAAATCCGGCCCTGCATGGCATACCCCTGTTTTGCAGTTCCTTAACTTTCAGTCACCAAGTCTGAACACTGTCATTTACCCCTTTCTAGAATCTTTGCAGAGGCTACAGTAGGGATTAGTGCAGCAGACAGAAGTGTGAAGGTAAGGTAAAACATTTTAAAAAAATGTTTACTTTAAGTAGATTACATTCACATATAGTTCTTGTTTTTTTTTCGATGAGCTGAAAATATATATATATGTAAAAAAATATCAGCACACTCACATTTTTATTATGCAGACCATTAGATCAGTATATTATTATCAGTATTGTAAGTATCAGTAGAGACCCTTTACCTTGCGATAGTTTTAATGATGCTATCAAGTTCATCTGGAGAAGGGGGATTGCGGCCCCCAGGTGGAAAGACAAGGTTGATGGGATCAAACAGACGAGACAAAGATTTGGACAGGTATGCTGCTTCATAGGGCTGCAGTGAATCTTTCAGTGTTTTCTCTGGACTGAATGGAAGAAAGATTTATGTTAATGGACAAATTATGGAATTAAATACTTACATTTGTGAAGTACTTCCACCATCATTCATTCAGTATGTACATTTGCTGACACAACCACATTCAGAGACATAAATCTCCAGTTATTATAGGGTTAGTTGTCATCACAGCTAATTCCACACTTGAAGATAAAATAGCTGATTAATGTTATAAATAGGTATACATATTACCCATCTCTTTCCCTCTTGCTAGTACTGGCTCCCTAAAAATATTGATAGCATTCAGGCTGTGTATGCCCATGCTTGGGTTCATGCAGCATAAAGAAAGTGAAACCAAGTAACCAAAAAAAAAAAGTATACACTAGGGATGTCCAAATACCGATACCGAACAATTTAACGAGTACTCGTACTCGTGAAAATGTCCCGATTCTTAAGGGCGATACCGGAATTTTACATTTTTAAACCGCAATGGATGCTGAGTTCCCACACTTGTTGGGGCCTGGCAGTAGCTGTCCCTGGCAGTGCCTGTCCGGTTATATATCTCCTCCTTCCCGGGGCAGGCACAGCACCACACACAGCACAGTACAGCCCCGGGGACAGCACCCGCCCGATCAACTCTTCACAGCATAGCCACTGCCCACAGATCCCTGCAGAGATCCACATGCCGCCCAGGTGAGCTCACAGCCTGGTGAGATGTATTGTGCCCTGGGGACATCTGTATTTAGCACTAGTCAGAAACTGACCTAAACTCATCAATCTGTGTTGTTTTAGAAAAAATGTCACATGTCTCTTTAAGAAAAAATATTGGTAATTGGTATCGGCAAGTAACTGAGGGAAAGTAATTGCACTTGGTCTTGAAAAAGTGGTATTGGGACATCCCTAGTATAATTGCACTTGGTCTTGAAAAAGTGGTATTGGGACATCCCTAGTATATACATTTTTTATATCTATTTATTTAAAATAAAAATGCAAATTTTATGAAAGACCCTCTTTACATTTTATTATTTGCAGGCATAACTAGTGGCTACTAAGGCTCTTGGGTAAAAATACTAAAGCCAATTGCAGGTCTTCATTTCAAAGGCATGAACAAAGCTGAAAAATAAAACCTTTCCTTAATGTAAATTCATGGTTCAGTACTTAGTGCTCATTACTAGCAATTAAAATGTATCTAATAATTAGGATTGATCTACATAATCCAATTAAAATAATTTGTAGCAATTTAAATAAAGTATTCCGACTAGGACATCATTTAACGTGAATAGTCGTAAAACATGAAAATAGACAAACACATTCCAAACGTATTCACACTCACTCGAGATCTGGTTTCTTCAGCATGAAACCGTCTTGTGTGTCATCTTCAATTTGTTGCAACTCAGGCACAAGATCAGAGTTTCCACTGCTCGCAAATGAGCCCTGTAGATTTTGGCTATATTGCTGAAGACGTTTCCACAGATCGTTGTATAGCCTTAGCAGTTTAGGGTACTCCCCTTCAAAAGCCTGTTTCAGGAAAGTGGAAGCTGGAAAGCAAACAAGATAACATAGGTGAAGATGACTGCACAACGGAAGATGATACATAATCACTATTAAAGGATAACTGTGAGATGAGTGCTTTCCACTCACCTCATAGTTCTAGCCGACCTGTGACAATGAGACTGTCACAGGTCGGCTCAGTAGATCGGGAGGTGAGCGAACACATACCGGGTTCGCTCACCTCTCGATCCTGTCACGGCTCTCTGCTGTGACAGGGGGAGGGGCTGGATTCCGCTCTCCCCGCTCCGATCTGCCAGCGCTGACTGGCAGAACGGACGGGGAGGGGGCAGGTACAGCTGGCTCTGCCTCTAGATAGGCAGAGTCAGCTGTCACTCACGCAGCTGGGCGGATCCCGTCATCTACGTCGGGATCCGCTCCGGCGTCTCAGTATACCGCGAGCTTTAGCTCGCGGTATACTGAGCTTAGGGTAACGGGAGGACGCTAGTTTGTGTCCTCCCGTTACCCTAAGGAGAACTATGGGGAAAAACACTGACCCCATAGTTCTCCTTTAAGCTCTGTGTTTAAATTTGATAAGTGGCTCTGGGCCATCATTTTCAATGACACAGTAACAAAGGTAACAGGTAGCATCTGCAATGTTTGTCGGTAACGATAAACTTTACATAAAACAAGTGTTGCTTATGATTAGTTGATATAGTTGCCTTATCAAATCCTCCACATGCAGTGCAGTCAAGTTTTTGCAAATGTGCACAATATAAAAGAGTGTAATGATTGTTCCCCATCATTCCTGTGTGTTGTAAAGTAGCCACCGTTCCAAGCTCACTCCCGTGATGTTCTATTACTTCAATATAAATTAGTAAACTAAATGCGAGATTGTAGCTCATCACGGGAATCAGAGGGATTTGGGCTCATCATTCATTAAGAAAATATACTGCATGGATAATATAAACCCGTCCTCCAAAATTGTGACAGCTGATGAAACACTATATGCTCAATGAAGGCACATTTACTACATTGTAACAGAAAAATAATTTTTTTACTCACCGTCACATCCTTTACTTTAACATGAAACGCAGGGTTCAGTGACATTTGGGTTATAATGCTGCCTAGAGGCAGATTTGGACATGATTTTTTCTTTTTCTTGTAACAAAGCAGTGTTGAGAGCAAGGGCATAAACGCAGAAGAATGGGGATATGTGTCCATCAATGAACTCAAATAAAAGGATTTTAGGGTGAGTAAAAAAATCCTGTTTTCATTTTCATTATTTGGGGGACACAGGATTCAGATCAGAGACATTTTAGACATCCAAAAGCAGTCCAACTGAGGGGTGGGCAACACAGCAAACAAAACACTAATAAGCCCAACTATAACAAAAACTTGGGAATGTCTACAGTTTAAAGTGCTGCCAGAAGGACCTTATGCCCAAAGCTGACCTCAAGAAAAGACCTGAGCACATACCTGGTAAAACTTAATGTGTGAACAGAAGAACAGATGGCAGCCTTGCAAGTCTGAAAAACAGTTTAAGAAGCAGGGAAAAGTCTAAGAAGCACTCACGGCCTTGACAAGGAAAGGTGGAACCTAATCCTAAAGACCATAAGCTTGAATGATGATATGTCTGAACCACCAAGAAATCATGGAACAAGAATTTAGACTTTTACAGGGACCATCAGGAAAGAGGGGGTAAGCCTGCCTAATGGACGCAGTAGCTATGAGGTAGACACGCACAACTCTAACTGCATTCTGACAATGCGTAATCGCCTTCTGATGTACTGGTTGAACAGAGGGATGAAAGCACAATATTCTTGTTAGTATGAAACACCAAAACCGCCTTTGGAAGGTAATACCACCTTGTTTTTGTGTAAGAACATAAAGGGTTCTTTAAAAAGGGAAAGGCTACCAGTTCAGACACATGTCTTGCAAAGGTGATGACAATGAGGAAAACAAACGTGTGAGTGAATGTAGAAAGGGGAATATCCCTGAAACTTTCAAAGGGCTGATTATGAAGTGCAGAGAGAATCAAATTCGAATTACACAGAGAAACAGGGGGGTTAACAGGGGGAGTAACATGAGAAACATCCTGTAGAAAAGGTCTTAAAGGAGAACTATGAGATGAGTGATTTCCACTCACCTCATAGTTCTAACCGACCTGTGACAATGAGACTGTCACAGGTCGGCTCAGTAGATCAGGAGGTGAGAGAACACATACCGGGTTCCCTCACCTCTCGATCCTGTCACGGCTCTCTGCCGTGACAGGGGGAGGGGCTGGATTCCCCTCTCCCCGCTCCGATCTGCCAGCGCTGACTGGCGGAACGGACGGGGGAGGGGGCGGGTACAGCTGGCTCTGCCTCTAGATAGGCAGAGCCAGCTGTCACTCACGCAGCTGGGCGGATCCCGTCATCTAAGTCGGGATCCGCTCCAGGTGCGGCGTCTCAGTATACCGCGAGCTGTAGCTCGCGGTATACTGAGCTTAGGGTAACGGGAGGACGCTAGTTTGTGTCCTGCCGTTACCCCAAGGAGAACTATGGGGAAAAACACTGACACCATAGTTCTCCTTTAATATTGTGGGAATCACTTACTCAGAGCGGACACTTTTTCTTTAAGACCTGACCTGGGCTGGGCTTCAACAGCCATGGTGTTAAAGCCAGAGGGTTTGAAGCAGGATGGTCAATTGGTGCTTGGGACAGACGATCTAGTTGATCTGGCAGAGTCCACAGAGTGTGTGCCAGGAGTCTGATCCACTCGGAATACCACATTCGCCTGTTGTATTTATCATTGAAATTACTGCCATCTTGATCCTGTGAAGCAGGCGAGGTGGTAGGAGTTTCAGGTAAGGGAAGGTATAAATCAGTTTTGGAGCCACCAACTTCTTCCAGAGGATCTCCGTACCTGGAGGCATACCGGTCTAGTTTAGTTGATGAATCAGGAGGCAAGGAGGTCCACATTCAGTGTCTCCACCTGTGACAAGTTCTGGAACACTTCCAGGTATAAGGACCACTTGCTGATACAGCGGGACCACTCCCTTTGTGATTCAAGATATTGCCCACAAACAACAACAATTTACCTCCAATACCGGGTATAAACCTTGAGCACTTACAAACCAAATGTTAGGAGCATGAAAGGTTTAAATGGATAGAGGTGACGAGGTTACCATGGGCGGCAACAAGGACTAACTGAGGGGGTACTGCATAGCTCCTGCACGAAGGAGGGGCAGATGGGGCTACCTCATGATGAATGGCAGGAAGTGCACACCTGACACTCCATTTAGCAACTCAACAACATTCGATTCCACAGCTTTTAACTATTCCTTCCAAAGGTTGTAATAAATGAAAAAGCTCCTGGTAATCAGCCACCCAGCCTACCTATAAATGAGTCTTTAGAGACTGGGTCAAAGTGGGAGAGGTTGTGCCATGGCTCTGGACATGGAAAGCCCTCTGCAGCTAACTAACTAACACTACACAGAGGTCTGGAAAGCTCCACAAGCAGAGCTCATTGCCCAAAGGTCACATTGAAAACAGTCCAGTGGAGTTTGGGTATGGTCCCCACAGCTATTGCAGAAGACACGCCAATCTGGATAGCTGCATAAATAGGCTACTATAAGTAGCATGTGATGAAGTCTTGATTGAAGAAAAAATTATCTTGAGAAGGAAAAAAATGATTAGTAAAAATGGTTACACTTTTCTCCAAGGACCAAGGACACTAGCAAAAATCGTAGGCATGATGGAGTCGGAGGGGTTGCCTGACAGTGTTTAAATCCTCCTGTATGCAGCAGTGAAAGCCAAATGTCTCTAAATCCCATGTCCCCTAATGAATGAAAAAGAAAGCTTCTTTTCTCCATTTTGAAAATTACTTTACAGAATGGGGTGGATTGGTTCCATGACACTCCTTTTGAGACAGAAAGCAATAAGTGTTCTCTACACATGACATTCATATCCCTTGCTCTCCTCACTAAAAAACCTTAGCTCAGGCTTAGTCTATGCGGTCTAGTCAAAATACTGCATGAAATAAGTCAAAAGTATTTCTGGACACTTACAATTTGTAGCCCTTTCAAACTGTGAGGAAAGGGTTTGCGTAACTGAATTCCAAAATATGTACAGAATATCAGATTGTCCATCCTAAAAGAAAACACATTTATTTTATAAATATACTTTTAGTTACAAAAAACAACAAATTAGTAAACTGCTACCCTTTAGGTTGCCTTTTTTTGCAGCTCCCTGGCAAAGGTGAGGCTCCATTTACACCTAGGTGTATTGTCGCAGCCGATTCAGCATGAAAAAATGCCCCACCCAAGGAATCCCATTAATTTCTATGGCCCCCTATGACACCTGTGAGTTATGTCACAAGCAGAAATACGCGTGTCACTCTAAATAGTACATGAGGTACTTTGGGGTAGATTTCAGAGTGTTTTGTCCCATAGACTTAATAGACTCAATAGAAAACGCTTAGAACTCGTGACGTAATATACGCGCATAATATGTGTTGCCTAGGTGTGAACGGAGCCTAATACAGGAAAATAGTAGTACATAATATTTATGAACTATGTTGTTTCTTTTTTTCTTGTATATTCTCTTGTTATTCATTAAATGGAGAGTAGCTATTTTACAGGTACTCCCCAACTGTGTCTTTAGAGCTGCCCACCTACAATTTTACCACCAAACCCTTGCCAGTTTAGAGAGCGCTGAACAATTTCTTTTGTTATTCATTAAGGCCACTAAGAAAATTGTAATTTTGCTGCTATTATGTGGGACACATAGGATCACTGACAAGTATCTTTTTAAAGATTGTATTTCCAAATGCAGATAACTGTATATTGACGATATGGCTACTAGAAAATACCATTTCCTATTGGGTACAATGTATACTTGCATATGTGGTATTTCATATGAAAAAAAAATACAAATAAAATAGAGCAAATACAGTTACCTTGGACTGACTAAAAGATGGCTTTTTTTATTGCCCAAAACCCCAGTCTGATAGGTGACTTATTATGTTACAAATCAAAGGCCCCATCAGCAGGACACTATGCACTACCTTTCCCAGAATTCTTAGAACTCTTTTTGTTGTTTCAAATATCAGCGTTAAAATTGTTTAACAACATGAACTCATGACAAAATAATGTAAGCAAAGTACTGTTAAATTAAACCATTCTAAAGAGGAATATGTGGACCGCCATACCAAACCCTTATGGCACTGCCTATGCTGGGCCGTTCCAACAGACAAAGCTTAGGTACTTCATAATGGTGCCAAAGTTTGCTTGTCCTTTCCAACCTCCTGAACAGTGCTATTGGGCAATGAAGCTGTCAATCAAAGTGAATGGTAAATGGGA